CAAAAAGCATTTGGTGGAGATGGGAAATAAAAGAGGAGGGAGAAGATGGGTTTGTTTGTATTCCATCTGCAAGGACTGCAGAAGAGGAAAACAGTCACAGTGGCTACCCAGCACTAATTATATCTTCAGGGCTGCTGGGAGCGTGCCAGCACCAAGTCGTGTACTGGGAAATGTTACTGGGGAATTGTGATTTTTAGCAGCCTAAACTCTACCAATCTGAGTGGAGCAAGATGAGATCAGCACAAGACCCTCCCAGCCTGCCTATTATTCTGGTTTAAGCCTGAAGTGGGAAAAGAAAGGGAGCTTAGGTTTTGTGTCTCCCAGGAATTSCCAGACATGGATGGTGTCCCAGAGCCCTGAGCTGTGGCAGGTACACGTGGAGGTGTCTGTGTTCAGGGCAGCAGKGTGTGAAAKAAAGTGCTAATTTGCTTTCTGTGCCTCTCTGCCTGTCTGTGTGTGCAGGGGATCAGAGGTTTGAAAACTCTCAGCTCATCTCTTTTGAGGCTTTCACTCTGCAGGGTGTGAGGATGGTCACAGAAACCTGAGTTTGTGTCCCTTTCCAAGGGACTCTGTGATGTTCTTTCAGTGGCCVTGCATCTGAATAAAGACATTGGCAATGCGCTGTTTTCATTAATGCCTAGTTCTTGGGGCTGTTTGGGGTGGTTTTGGATGCCTGTGTGGAATTTGAACACACTCTTCTACCCTGACAGCTGCTTTTGAAAACATCAGAAACAGATCTTTTTGTGTCTTGGGAATTGCTCTGTAAGAAGTTGGATGTTAGTGAAGGGTTTGGGTATTACTGTTAGAGATCCAATTTCTCTGTTTCCTTACACGCTTGGCCCAGTGCATTTAGAACTGGCGTCTCACAAATATTCTGTGTCCAACTGCAGTTAGCTGAATTCAGAAGAAAAAAAACTCCATTTCAAAACAGCTTCTCTTATCTGAACAGTTGAACCCTTCACAGCACAGTTCTCTATAACACATGTTCCTTTACAAACCAAAGCAAAAATCTCATTTAATGCATGATTTGCTAGCAGTGTCGGATAATAATAAGTATTTGTAGGTTCCTTTTTTTGTCAGGCTTTTTAGTTTTAAAAACATTGTAGCAACTGTAATAAGCCAAGACTGTGCATATGGGAAGAGATGCAAGAAACAGAGCAGATTACATCACCTGGCAAGAGTTCTGCTTTGTTCTGCATTCATCTCTGGCCAGTTGTGAGTTAAACAGCATGTTCACAGTTTTGTCCTCAGGTTGGCAATTTTGGTTTCTGTCTCAGTGTTTCAGGCTGCTTTCAAACCAGCAGTTTTACTAATCAGAGCAGCTCTGCCCTCCCTGACCCACTTTGCTGTCCTCAGACTTCCTGCTACAAGCATCTCTGTGGCTGTTTAATGAATCAGGTGTGGGGACTGATCTGAGTAGAGGAAAAAGTCGTTTAATCCAACGCTTCTGGGTTTGAGTCAGCCCAGCTCAGTGAGAATGTGTGAGMAGCAGCTGAGTCTGCAGGGAAGGTGCCCAGCCAGGCCTGCTGTGGCACCAGTGCTTGCCTGTGTTGGTTGAGGTGCTCAGCAGCAGTAGAATGGTGCAGTGTAAGTTGTGTTTTATCTGACTGGAGCTGTTCCTGACCGCAGAGATCCCACTCCACTGTCCCTCCTCTCCTGTGGCTGCTCAGGGATTCCCTGGCCGCAGGGTGAGGAGCCCATAAATGTTTGTCTTTCTCTTTGTTTCTCTTGTTTAAATCAGTGAAGTGATTCCTTTCAATCACTGATTTCCTGACCACTGGGCCCAGTGTCAGATTGGGACATGGAAATGTGGGGCTGAGGAGGAGGAGGAGGCTGGTTTGGGTCAGCCTGTGCTCGCTGCCGATGAAGCACAAMTGAAACCACATTTCAAGGCTGCTGCTTGTCTTGTCTGTACAAACCCTGCTACAGATGGAGGCCTCTTCAAACCAGGCTTGTTGGTTTGTTAAAAGAAATTAATGTAATAAAACCCCCATGTGAATGCAGATCTTCTCCCTGTAGTGTGTTAAATACTTTGCACAGAACATCAGTAGAGGCGTAGAATGTGTGTAAAGTGTTTTGGGTGTAGTCTGCTCTTGTGTATCCCTTCTGGATTCAAATCTCCTCTTGAATTCAGTTTTAATTAACATGACGACACAATCCAGAAGTTCTGAGGGATTAGTACTGATGCTTACCTATTAAAAATTTAAACAGAAACAGACATATCCCAGTACATGTGCTGAACCACATCTCTGCAACTTGGACTGGGAAACTATGTGTGAGAGCTCATTTAATGCTGCTACCGAATCCAAACCCCCAGGACTTGTCTCTCCCTTTTTCCAGGAGTCTCTCTGTGTGTGGGTGGGCATTGGTGTGATCCAGGTTAGTAGTTTATCATTCCTTGTGTCCACAGAATTACAGACTYCAGGAGTTTGTTAGTGCAGAATTAAATTGTGTGCAGCTCTGCTGATTTCGCTCTGCTTTCCTTGACTCTGTTTCATCCCTGCTCTGGTGGSATGTTGGGGTGATACCTCTGAGCTGGCAGGAAGCCACAGGAGCCTCTCTGCTCTTTCAAACAGCTGAGCTCTGGCTTTTGCTGTGTGGATCAAGYAAGTGCTGCTGTTGGGTAACGTCCTTTGTTCAGTTGGGTTTTTTGGTTTTGGTTTTTGTCATCTTCCTGTTCCATGCTCTTTGTGACTTAGCATATGCTCCTAGCTGCTTATGGCACAAACATTTACCATCATTTTTCTCACAGGTAGCCTATGCTGGCGCTAATTTTTGGTGTTTTGTGGTTTGTARTTGTATTATCCCATTTCAGAAACTCTGTTCCTTTTCCAAGCAGTAGCTGGGGACCTGCATAGAACAGATGTGGATGTTTTGGAAGATCATGTGTAAACCCTTTCTCTTAAGACTGTTACTTAGTATATGAGATATTCCAGCATCCTTCTGTGGAAAAAACAACTTTTTTCATTCCATTTTGCCTCTTCCTCYTGCACTCCCCTGCCTCTTTGTGCCAGGAAGGTGGCACATGGCTGTGCATCTTGGCAAGTCTTTCCCACTTTTTTTCCCCAACCCTTTGGATTGCTGATCAGCATTTCTGTCCAAGTGCAAGAGCTCAGTTCTGGCTGTAGGAAGGCTCCAGCTGGGACAGTCCTGCTGCCAGGATATGGGATGGCAGTGTTCCTTTTGACCTGTGCAGCTGAAGGTGCCTGGTGGTTTAGGGACCTGCAAACAATAAACCAAATTTCTCTGCTGTTCGGTATTCCCGCGTTTTTCCCCCTTCGCAGTGCAGCATTGCCTTGTGCCTGGTGAGGCCTCTTCAGAGGACAATTAAACAGACAATCTGGATAATCAGTGTTTGGGGAATAAGGCCTTGAGGCAGAGTCAGAGGAATTGTAGCCATGGGCCAGAATCCTGCTGTGCCAGGTATTATCCACAGAATGAGGTGAAACTCAGAGAATGGATTTACAAGATCTGAGAAATATTTGAGAAATGTTCGTGTTTTTTTGCTTCTGTTGTTGGTATGATGAGCATCACCTTCAGCTCCTCAGCAGGTAACCAGCCAGCTCTTGAACCAGGCAGGCTCCTTCCAGCTGCTGTGGTGGAGAATAGAAAACTTYAGAGTTTAAACTTGTAAATGGACTAAGTTTGTGGCCTTGACAAGGGAAATCCTTCTGTGTGTGATGGGGAAGTTTGGGTTTTGGAGGAGGGGTTGAATGTCCTTACACAAGGAAAAACGGGATAAATACATAATCTGCAAGTTTTTGGTTTTCTTCAGGAATAAAAATTCATCCCTGCAGTGCTGGTTCTTCACTCTGTCCCTGGCAATAAGTTCCCTTGCTGCCCTGGAGTGTTTGCACTGTGCTGCAGAGCAGCTGGCTGCTCCTGCACAGCACTCAGRAKCCCAGCACCGGCTGCTGCTGGGCAGCCAGGGAAGGTGTGAACTCTGGAAATGAAGCAGTGGAGGGAATAGCAGCAGCAGGAGTTTGGGAACAGGTGGGAAAGCAGAGAACAAGCCCACTGTGAGCAGGCTGTACTCACACTGGTTGTGTTTGACAACAGCCACACTGCCCTGGGGGTGTTCCCTGCCCTGTCCTGGGCAGCAGAGAGTGGAGAGAAAGGGGGARGATACAGCAGGGATGGGGCAAACTGGGAGTGGAGGAAAATCTCAGAATCWCAGAACAGCCTGTGTTGGAAGGGAYCACAGGGATCATCCAGTCCAACCCCTGGCCCTGCCCAGACACCCCAATAGTCCCACCCTGGGCATCCCTGAGAGTGGTRTCCAAACASTCCTGGAGCTCCRGCAGCCTTGGGGCYRSGACYATTTCTTTTCTGCYCAAAGAAAAAGAAAACCTTTCCCAAATGTGTAGGTAGCTCATCTGTTCTTTCTGCTTTTCCTTGATAGTTAACAAGAGAATTCTGTCTGATTGAGAGACGGTAGATAGCAAATTTCCTTATCCTGTTTTTATTCATTTGGGCAAAATAAAAATGAAAAGCTCATGTGGTAAACTTGTARCATCACAATATGAARCTCTGTTTCACCTTTTCCAGTAAGTCACTGGTTTTCTTATGACCTGTGGTACTTTTTGCCTTTCAAGTGGCCAACTTTTTGGCTGACACTGAGCTCACRTGGCCACCAAGCAGCCTGTAGGGAATGAGCTTTATTTCCTCTCCCTGTTTGATTTTTCTTCCTTTCTAACTCGTAAGATGACAATAAGATAACAAAAAGGTTAGAAATTGAATGAAGCTGCTGGAAATGAGTAGAATAGAAATGAATAGAAATGAGTCAGGTTGTGGTGAAAACCTAAACGCAGGGGTAAGCCAGGTTTATTCAGCACTGTTTCTACTTTTTTTTCCTTGAAGAGAAATCAAGGGAAATATATGAATAGGAGGATTTTTGAACTTGATTCAAGGAATTAACCAACGAAAATGAAACAAACAATGAATATAACTAAATTATGAAGTGATCTAATGACTCTTTTCTTCTCTTTTGTTTCCYGTAGGCTGAACTCACGGGCATCAAATGGCGTAGGTACAATTTTGAAGGCCATGGGGACTGTGGGCCCATCATTTCTGCTCCAGCCCAGGATGATCCCATCCTGCTCAGCTTCATCCGCTGCCTGCAGGCCAACCTGCTGTGCGTGTGGCGCCGGGATGTCAAACCCGACTGCAAGGAGCTCTGGATATTCTGGTGGGGGGACGAGCCCAACCTGGTCGATGTCATCCACCGCGAGCTGCACAGTAAGTCACTCTCTGCTTCTCCATTATTTTCATTTTTTTCCAGTGAAAAAGCAACTTTGTCGAAATCTTTATCTTGCTACCATATGTGCTTTTGTTGTAGTTGGTGTTTTAAGACCTACAGGAAAACAAAAAAAAAGATGTAAACATGACTTTTTTGCCGCGTGATAAAATGCAAAGTGAAACTTGAAATGAGCTCAGGAGAYCTGTAGGAAATGTCATGATTTGGATTTTTGAGGAACCTCTGAAAATAGAGTAAATTCCAGTTCAAAGAATGATAATGGTAATGCACCCCCAGCTCTGGCTTTAGGGAGTATTTGATGGAATAAGTCACCTTTCCTGTAGAACCAGCTGAGCTCCACAGCACCCCAGGTAAATCTGGGAGCTCAGGACTTGCTCCTTGCTCGTGCTGCAGGATTGGAGCACAATCCAAGGCGAGTTGCAACAAGGGAGTGGAGCAGGAGGCAGGAAGGGGCAGGTAGGTCAAAGGTGGCAGTGCTGAGTTGGTGATTACAGGCTTTACACAGCTGGGATTGTCCTCAGAGGCTCCAGAGCGTGTGGCATTAACATGATGAAGTGACTTCTGCTCTGTCTGTTGTGATCCTCTTTGGGTTTGACTCTATCCACTRTATATTATTTTCTTTTCAGAGGTGTGTTATTGCTATGACAAGGCTTAGTTTGCCTGAACTAAAAGGTGTTTTATTAGGCTGTGTGAATGTTACCTCCATTTTCACTTTATGTCTTGCAAGGAAACAACTGACGTTCACCAGTTCTGGAATAATAATAGTGATTAAAGGGAAAAAAAAAAACCAAAACCAAGCCAATCATAAGGATCAGGTTCTGGTTTCTTGCAATAATTTTTTATCCTTGTGGCCTTTAGACCTTCTGGTGACTTGGTGAATAAATTCGTTTCAAGTCACAGAATATTTTATTTATCAAGCGTGCTTGAGCTGTCCCTTATTTCCCACCTGTACCCTGAACTCTTTGGTTCTGGGTTATGGTATATTCATCTCATTTGTTTTTTCTGTTCTAAGCACCATTCCAAACTTCCTGCTCTGATGGCTGCCAGATTGTTTATTTGGCAGCAGAGCCTGTGAAATCACAGATATGGAGCCCTGCGTACCTTGGGGTGTGTTCCATGCAGGTAGCCCTGTGATCATGTATAATTAAAGAGATGGCTCACAAGTGCTGCACTGAGCCATTCTATCACCATCCATTTTTWATGAGGCACCTGTTTGGAATGAGGGAATGGGTAATATTTCTACTCACCCAGCGAAGCTTTAATAATATATGCTTTTCTCTTCGTGAAATATAGTTTATTTAATATTTCAGATGCAGTAGATGGGACTTAAGTGTCTTTTTATTTGAGGGGAGTTGCAGGTGATGTTTCTGTTGTGAATTGATGGAGCTTGTTTATATCTGACATCTTGGTTACAACAATTAYGGTGACGGTGGTGTGGAAATCCACTGAAATGAATGTATGGACAGCTGTATGGGGAAAAGGATACAAAGACAGGAGCCTCACCCTGCCACATTGCCTGCTTCAAAATGTTATGGAATCATGGAATTATTTAGTTTRGAAAAGACTTCCAAGGTCATCGAGTCMAAGCTGTGCCCCATCCCCATCTTGTCACCAGCCCAGAGCACTGAGTGCCACCTCCAGGCCTTCCTTGGACACCTCCAGGGCTGGGCACTCCAAACCTCCCCGGGCAGCCCCTGCCAAGGCCTGAGCACCCTTTCCATGGAGAAATTCCTGCTGATGTCCCCCCTGCCCCTCCCCAGCCCAGCCTGAGGCCGTTCCCTCTCCTCCTGTCCCTGTTCCCTGGAGCAGAGCCCGACCCCCCCGGCTGTCCCCTCCTGTCAGGGAGTTGTGCAGAGCCACAAGGTCCCCCCGGAGCCTCCTTTGCTCCAGGCTGAGCCCCTTTCCCAGCTCCCTCAGCCGCTCCTGGGGCTCCAGACCCTTCCCCAGCTCCGTTCCCTGCCCTGGACTCGCTCCAGCCCCTCCATGTCCTTCCTGAACTGAGGSGCTCAGAACYKGACACAGCACTCCAAGTATTCCAACATCCGGCTGGAGCCTTCAGAATTAAATCTGAAACTCGTCTGTTGTCACGTGTGTAAATCCTACAAGGATAGATTTCCTTGTTCTATATTAAAAGCACATTGAAACACTTGTAGTGACTTATCAGATGGAGTTCAAAGCGATGTAAATTGTGCAAGTGTTGTACATTTTCCTGCTGATAGGGCTGGCGGGCTCTGTTCACTACATTTTAGAGTTCAAACATCAGTATTGACAAAATATTGAGCCTCAAATTCTGCCAGAACAAGGCATTTATGTCCATTGATTCCTTGAGATAGGACAAAGGACACAGTTTGTGTTCACTGCTTCACGCAGCCCYGAGGCAAAAGGAACAACTTTATTCTGCTTTTTATTGTATAAACAGGCCACAATACTGAAATATTTGATGGTTGAAATTAGCTTCCTGAAAATATAAAGGATTTTTTCATGTGCAGATACGAACAGAAAATAAGAAAAGTACTGAAGCAGAGTAATTTCCTTGCCTGTCAGCTGGGTCAGGGTAACTTGATGGGTTTTTTTGGGATAACCTGCTCAGGAATTGAGCTGCTTTGGCTTCACGTGCTGTTYCTACAGCCTGGGCTGTCACTGTGATTTAGAGTCCTATGAGCAGAGCTTTATTGTTGTGTTGTATTCACATGTTCAGGAGCACAAGTCCCAGGAACCTGATGCTGCAAATCCAAGTGGAAGATTAGAATCTGTCTAAAACATTAACATCTTCTAAGATATGGGAACTTTAGGGAATAATGGCTGTTAATAAGATCATGAATTCATATAAAGAAGGAAGTTTTGGAGTTCTCTTTTCCTGCCTAGGACTTGTGCTTTGAAAATKAAATAATTTAGTGATAACTAATGTGAAATAATTTAATTTTAAAATATTATGTTTTATTAATTCAAATCTAAATTATAATTATTGATTTTTCTGGAAAAAACAGTCACCCCAATAGTGCTTTATGATATTTACTGCATTTAATAAACAGAAAAAAGCCCAAACTGAGGCTTTGCTTTCAGAAGCACTTCAAAAACTTTTGCTCAATGAACTCTTAAGAGTTCCTTTATCTTTATAACATTCAGTATTTGGTAAACAACAATCTGCCTTTAATAAAAGAATTTCAAATAGTCATAGGGAAAACAACTTAGTGGTTGTAAACAGGAGGTACAAGGAGAGTTGTTTATGTAGTAGCTTTCCAAAACTGTGGATAATTAAATGCTGTCATAGGAGATTAAATAAAAACAATTATTTGCAGAGCAGTTATAGATCAGTGGAGTGGTTGGATTAAGCAGGCAGCTGGGAACTTTAGGGGTGCCTCTTGCACATTTTCCTACATTTCTTCTTCCTGCCTGACCGTGGTGTTCTGGTTTTTATTAAGATGGGATTAAAAGTGGAAGAGAGATTGAGAGAGATTTATTCCATCCTGGGTGGAAAAAGCTAATTGTGTGGGGTTACCGAGTGAGGAAAAACTGGAAGGATTCAGTAAGTTGGAAAAAGTTGGGAGTGYTTTAGTTTGTGGAAGTTTTGTTTTCTCAAGGATAAATGTTGTTTAATGATACTGCCTGGAGAGGTTTGGCAGCTCTTCCAGCCAYGGTACCTTTTCCCGTAAATCCATTTTTTTTTTGTACATCCTACAAGAAGTGGAAGGAGAGGAGGGAGTGTCTGACTGTTGGCAGCTTTTTTGACAGGAAAGTTGTAGATTTGCAACTTGCAGAGCTCTCATTTGCATTCGGTGACCAAATACCATCTGGAGTATCTCGAGAATTTAGCCAACTTTTGGCTTTTTCTCTTCTCCCACCCCTGCCCTGGACCCTGTGGGTTCCACACAGATTATAGGGAAGGGAAATCTCTTCCTCAATGTCCTTCTTTGCTTTTTCAAGGAATACTTTCCTCTGGTGTTTTACACAACTCCAAGAGTTGGACTTGATGGTCTGGTGGGTCCCTTTCAACTCAGAATATTGTGTGATTCTCTGGCAGTTTTATCTATAAASTTGTAACTTCTGCACTGAGTTTATGGATCTATTCATCTTTGTCTGTTACATCTGTGACACAGAATATTGGAATTCTCAGGGATAATGCAGGGATTATGATCTGCACCACTGCTGAGAATCCAGGTTGGTGACTGTAAGCAMAATGCTGGAGGTGGACTCTGGAAAGCTTGCAGGAGCTCGAAAATGAATAAATTCTGGGTGTTTGATAGTTGTTTAGGTAAAACTGCATCCTTCTATCAGCTTAGCAGCTCGTGTGCCTGAAATCGCTGATTCTGGTAGGTATTTGGGATTTCCATCTGATATATTGCACTTGCTCTGTTAATTTCTGGAGCTGCYTCCCACCAAAAGATATAAATACAATTTCTGCTGTGTAGAATATAAGGATTTGGATGAAAATGCTTACGAAGAATAGATTATCTTGAATGAATTAGGCAAGTCTTTCCTGCAAGATTATTGTRCATGATCTTTGCAGCTTGGTAGGTTTAAAAATGTTGCTGAAATTTGAGCTGTGACAGGAAAAACCTGGAGCTTCGGCTCGTTCCTGTTTATGAATTCTTGGCATATCGGGCTGGCGCAGCCGTAATCCCCTGGTGCTGATAAAAGTGAGGAGGGGAAAATGCTGCCTGTAGGAAGGGCTGTGTGCAAGGCACCCACGTTAACCCACGTGCTTGTGCCCCAAATTTGTTTTTGCTGTTGCATCTCCACCTGAAAAATGCTGATTTTGACCTATGGGAAAGTAGAACATGCCAGCTCTGTTTTTAAGGATCCTTCCTGAGGAGAACAACTTGTCCCAGAACTCAATTTAGGTATTTTGTTTCCTGCTAGGAAGGGTTCTTGATGCTCTCTTATTAACTGCCGGATTCCAAAGTTTCATTTATCAGCCCAGGCTTCTAAATTGAGTCGCTCTTCAACTTGTCAATGTTTAGGAGTTGGTATTTGTCAGTAT